ACCGGTTGGTAACCAAGGTGGCGCAGTGGTTAAATGCAGCACTGCAGGCTACTTCAGCTGACTGCAGTTCTGCAGTTCGGCTGCTCAAATCTCACCGAGGTTGACTCAGCCTCCCATCCTTCCGAGGTGGGTGAAATGAGGACCCGGATTGTTGTTGGGGGCAATATGCTGACTCTGTAAACCGCTTAGAGAGGGCTGAAAGCCCTATGAAGCGGTATATAAGTCTAACTACTATTTCTATTGCTATTGCTATTGCCCTGCTTACAGAAACTGCCTCTCCGGCTAACCCTTATTGCATTGTAACAGTTAAAACGAAGCATCCATCAACCTGAGTGATGGTGAGTTGGCCACGCCCACCCGGTCACATGACCACTGAGCCCCACCTACCCACCTGGTCATTAGGACAGAGAACAGGTTGTTAAATTATTTGAAGCCCACCACTGGTTGGGAGGAAGAGATGCTGCCTAAGGAATGGTCAGATAAGAGAGGGCATAACCAGCAGCTGCATGATGGACAGAGAAAGAGGCTTAGAAGGGACCCTCCTAAGGAGAGGGTGGGAAATGTGTATTTTCAGATTTGCAAGATTTTGTTAACGTAGCTTTGTAATAAATAGCTCATCCTGTTGCTTCTGGTATGGCCTTTCTGGGGAGGCTGACGAGGTCATTTAATCCAATTCTCTACCAATGGAAGAGGTTCATCATTACAGTGTTTGCTTATCCTGCTCTAGCTGGCTCAGAAGATTACTAAATTTAGACGAGCTACTAAATTTGGCCCACCCCAGACTTTAACCTTCTTGCCAATTATACTGTGCCTGAGCTTATTCATCCGGGTGGGAACGGAATCCAGTTAAAAAACTAGATCTAGTCCTCAGCAGTTCTGGCACATTAGATGCTACTGGAAGGCAGGACTTTTGGAGAAGATTCAGTGGTTGCTGCAGTATGAACAGAGACGCAAATGTTTTCTTCTGCTTAGCTAAAATGCCGGAACACTATTCATTTTTATCGCACAGGCAAAAATGAGGCATGAATTGTGAGCCAGCAAGTGTAGCTCCTCTTGGAAAGAGAAGAAGATGGCCTGACTTGAGGAACCTCAACAAAGGGAAATAACAAATCTGTTGGAATATTCATGACTGGGAGAGACATGGTAACAAGATCAGCCAATGAATAGGCATAGCAGCTAAGTCAGCCAATGGGAGCTTAAAACAGAACTGAGTCTGTGCTGAGAATCGAAACTGAAACTACTCTGTCTGCTCTGAACTCTGAAATGATACTAACTGTTCTCTCCTGCTTGTGTTCTGCTTGTAACTTCTCCCACGTTGAAAGAATCTACTATTGGTATTGTACATTTATTCATCTGTTATTATGTATATAAAGAAGTGAATGAATCCAGCTGAATCAGTTATCTGTGTGTGCTTTCTGGGTTTGATTTTTCTGCAACAAACTCTGACACAATCTTCGATCTTCTTCAAGATAGGTTAGGCTCACATACTGGAAGGCTTCCATCCTTTTTCTTCTGTTTGGTGCTTTCAGGAAGCTTCTGAGGTTCAAATGCATACAAAAAGATTGACCACGGAGTCCCTACACCAGTGATGGTGAACCTTTTCGGCACCGAGTGCCCAAACCGGAATGTGTGTATGTGCGCCAGAGCACTGGAAACCGGAAGACGAGCTGGCTGGTGTGCATGCACGTGCCGGCTGGCCGGTCTACTGGTTTCCAGCGCGCACATGCATGTCGGCCAGCTGGACTTTGACACACAGGAGTGCCGGAAACCCGAAGACCAGTTGGCTGTACGTGCTGGCCAGCTGGCCTTCTGGTTTTCGGCGCATGTGAAGACCAGCTGGACGGCACGCATATGTGTGCCGGAACCAGAAGAGCAGCTGGTGACAGCACGCATGCCCAGAGAGAAGGGGCTCTATGTGCCACCTCTGCAGGGGTGGGTTCCTGCCAGTTCTAACCTCTTCTATAGAAGAGGTTCCACAAATCTACTGTGCCGTTTAGAACTGGTTCCAGCTCCCTCCCCCCGCCCGTCCACACCACGCTTACCCCACCTGCCGCTCACTGATTGGCTGGCTCACCAATCGCCCCGCCCGCCTCTAAGAGTCCTATCTAAATCTTAAAGTCTTAAAGCTGTCAAGTTTGAACATCCCTGGGGTTTTTTTTTCTAAAGGGTTAGAGGCGCAAGGGTCTTGTAACTTGACAGCTTTAAGACTTGCGTGCTTCAAATGCCAGAGTTTCTGAGCCAACATTTTGGTTGCTAATCAAGAGCGCTGTTAAGTGAGTTTCATCACATTTTACAAGTTGGCCACGCTCATCCAGTCACATGGCTGCCAAGCCACTCCTGTCCAGTCACATGGCCAGCAAGCCACTCCCACCCAGTCACATGGCTGCCAAGCCACTCCTGTCCAGTCACATGGCCAGCAAGCCACTCCCACCCAGTCACATGGCTGGCAAGCCACTCCCACAAAGCAGGCCACACCTACAGAAGAGGTTCTAAAAAATTTTGAAACCCACCACTGCACCTGTGGCAGGCATGCCATAGGTTTGCCATCAAGGCCTTAGACCACTGCGAGAGGTTGTGTAAAGGCTGGGGAAGCAGCGGAAGATTTTAATGGATGAATCAGTTGAAACCTTATCTCATCATTGGGAACTCAGCCCAGGTGAGGAAAAGTGTGTGTGTGTGTGTGTGTGTGGTGGGAAGCATCTTCAGAGAGACTGATAACAAACGAGGGCGGAAAATTCCTAAAGTTCTGTATTTACGCCAAACAATAAAGAGACTTTTCTGAACCATTTTTAATGTTTTGGTCTTGCCCAGCTATGGGAGACTTGACAGCTACAGAGTCGTGCTTCCAGCTTCTATTCATCTGGAAATTTGAAAAGAATCATGAATTGCATTCCTAGGACATTTCTTCCATTCCTTCTTGAACAACGGTCGGTTGTCAATGAAAGACATCCCATCAAATTCCACATGGGCACAATATGAACTTGGGGAGGGAACGGAGGCACCGTTTCTTTGGGAAGACGTTACCGGCAATGTGCGAAAAGTTGGCATTGCATAGAATGCCCAGGAAATCTATAGCATGCATGTGCCCAGCTCCATTTGTGCGAGCCGCGTGCACACACACTTTCCGCTCACTTAAATGGAGTGCATACTTGTTGGCTGTTTTGACAGCCCAGGTACAAACCCCTCAAAGCCAGGGCTGGGCTTCAAAAATTTCAGCAACGGCTTCTCTGCCCGGCTGCTGGGTGGGCGTGGCTATGGTGGGCGTGGCCTAGTTGGCCTCCTGCACCATGGCAGGGGCGGGGGGGGGCATTTTCGCCTCCCTCAGGCTACAGAGGCCTTCTGCGAGGTCCGTTTTTCCCCTTCCCTGAATTTCTGCGTGGGCCTTGCACTTACCTCGCATCCAAAATGGGTCGCGTGGAGTCCTGGGAGGGGAGGGGAGAGGTGGGGGTGGGATTTGGAGGTTCTCTGAACTGGTCATAATGTTAGCTACGGGTTCTCCCGAACCCGGGTGAACCTGTAGCAGCCCACCCTTCCTCACAGCCCATTAGTTGTCTGCGGCCTACAGGTTGGGGACCCTGCCCTCGGCCGTCTATAAAATGCCTAATTTCACACATTGAGGGTAACAAACACACGGAGGTCCCAACTCCAATCCCAAATTATTTCTATAACAACGGGGTGTGGAAAACAATCTTCTCTAAGACCTTGGAGAAATTCTGCCCGTCAGAGGAGACCGAGCTGAAACAGACTTATAAATACACCAGGCAACCAACCGTTTCATTTTCCAACCTGCGTGATACTATGCCAGCAGCAGGACAGGCCTCGCCCATCTTTATAGGCCCTGACAAACAGCTCCTTTTGTTTGTTTTGAACAAAACAGGCACAATTCCGCCTGTCCTTCTAGAATTCTAATGTTTTTACTGACGTCCCCCCCACAAAAGCCACTTGTACTAGCACTGATGATGTTACCTAGTTTGGGTAATGAAAGGCCTGAAAGAAAACAAGCAAGCTCAAGAGAGGACCAAGGACCCCTCAAAGCCACTTGTCCATGCCACATGAGCAAGAGTCCATCGTCTCTTTTATCCACCATAATGTTTATGGATGGGGCACGTTCACCATCTCAGTGGAATAGGACAAAGGACACTCCATCGGTCCCAAACGTCCTCGGCTTGTCCGTATCCTGAACAGCATGGCCGTCTCTAGGTGTCTCCTTCGCTAGGTGGGCCGGTTTACAAGGGGCCATTCGGCTGCTCTTTATCAGGCTGTACCAGATCTTGATAGAAGAGAGAACGAAGGAATCGGGGGTAAGAATCTTTCTCCATCAGCCCAAAGATCCTCTTCTGGGCTTGGTCAAAGCAAGACCGGGTGGGGAGCAAAATGTTCCGATTGGTGACATCTCTGGTCTGGGAATCAAGATTCACCTGCAATTAAATGCACACCATTATACACACGATACAAAGTGGCGGCAACTGTGATTTGTTTAAACATGAATAAAAGGTATTTGCAGGAGCAGGGGAGAAAACAATCCCCTCAGGGGCTGGCAACTTAAGATGTTCTGAGTTCAAAACTTAGAAACGTACAAATAGAGATTTTTAATCAATCAATGCTGATCTAGAACAAGGGTTGACTCCCTCCCTTTAATTGCATCTGGCTGAAGAAATTCAATTTGATTAATTCTATTCTATTCTACTCTACTCATTTTATTATTAATTCTATTCTATTCTACTCTACTTATTTTATTTTATTATTAATTCTATTCTATTCTATTCTACTCTACTCATTTTATTATATTTTATTATTAATTCTATTCTATTCTACTCCACTATTTATTTTATTTTTTATTATTTTATTTCGAATAGAATAGAATGGAATAGCAGAGAGGTCTTCTAGTCCAACCCCCTCACCGCTTCAGATAAATGGATATCCAACATCTTCTTAAAGACTTATATTAAAGATTTATTTTATTATTTTATTTTTATTATTATTATTTTATTATTTCCCACAATTCTAAACCTTAAAAATGTACAACATCTTTGTTGGAAACCACTGTTTACTTCCAGTTTCTGCCAAAAAAAAAAGCGCCCCAGTGTGAAAAATGGGTTCGCTTAATGACCACAACATTCGCTTAACGACTGTGGTGTTTGCTTCAGGATTGTATCTTAATGTCTGTATTCCCCCCTTCCCGGTTTTGTGTGAGCCGCCCTGAGTCCCCTCAGGGAAAAGGGCGGCCTACAAATACTAATAAAACTCATAAACTCATTGCCAAGTTCCCTTAATGACCACTGTAATAAAGGTTGTAAAATGAGGCGCGATCGTGTGGTGTGACCTCACTTATCAACTGTCTTGACTTTGGACCAAAATGGAAGTCATAAGCCCGAGAAAAGCAGTTAGATGTCCTGCAACTTTCAGCGACGTACAGGCCTAAGATTAGCTGAGCTGTAGGAGGAGCAGGGGCAATGACAGGGCCTTATCCTGGCCTCGACAACCCTGTCTGAGTATTAACATCATTCTCTGACTTCCTCTTTGCTAATCTCTTGAAAACAACAGTAGAGCCCAGGGACTCTCAGTATGATTCAGAAAAACAACTGGGGAAATGCATTCACCTCCTCCATCATCCCTGTCAGCCGTTCAAGTAATGCGCCCATAGAAAATAGAACTCTGAGGCAGGCAGGTTCCGCAAAGAACTGATTATTGGAAACATCACATTGGCACAACTGGTGAAAGCCGACTCTGAACTTTCCTGAGGCTTTCACCTGATTAAGAGTAAAAGTTTCCCCTTTCCCCCAAGTCACGGGTCACGCTGTCCAATCTGAGTGCTGGCTGGTTGCTTGGTTACTTGCTCCTCCTCTGGCCAGCCACCTGTGAGAATGTCCTTGGTTCCCACAGGAAAACTTTATTGTTCAGGCTACAAAACCCCAGCTAACTATTTCCCCTCTCCCACTGTTGTCTGGCAACCCTGAAGCCTCCAAGCTGGCTTCAGCCAGGTTCACATCAGGGTTGACAATACCACCGTGAAGCACATAATAGTTCTGAATCTTTCATTTCCCTTCCTATCTAGCTTTCCAAAGGACACACACAGATCTTGATAAAGCACTACAAAAAAGCAAGGTCAATAAGATCAGCCACCAGCATGCATATATGAGATTTGTTCTGTGTGGCTTTGTACAGACACACCTGTTTGTCTGGCTTAGTACCAAAAAAAAAAAAAAACCTTGGTAAGAAAGGAATAAGAAAAAAGATCTGTTCAAACAATGAAATACAAAGATTTGAGATGCCTATATATGCGGCAATACTTATGCAGGCATGCAGAAAAGAGCAACAAAGGTTATTAGTGGAGGCTAAAATATATGAAGAACAGTTGTAGAAACTGGGTGTGTCTAGTCTAGTGATAAGAAGGAGTAGGGGTGACATGATAGCAGTCTTCCAATATCTAAAGGGCTGCCTCAGAGAAGACCGACAACCTATTTTCCAAGGCACCAGAAACAAGACAAGAAGCAATGTATGGAAACTAACTAAGGAGAGAAGCAATCTAGAACTCAGGTTCTAGGTTTGCCTTCAGAAGTTATGTGTGCTCCATCACTGAAGGCTTTTAAGAAGAGACTGGACGGCCCCTTCTCTGGAATGGGATAGGGACTCCTGCTTGAGCAGAGGGTTGGACTAGAAGACCTCCAAGGTCCCTTCCAACTCTGTTGTTCTGTTACAAACTCTGTTGCAACATAAATGCAAAATATGGAATAATAGTTTTCTCTAACAAATACTAATTCATCCCATTTCACAAACGAGTCTACAAATTCAAAAGAAACTTTAAGATTCCCCTACTTCTTTTGGAGCTTGGATGGTGATATATTGGTCAAAAATCTTTTTTGCTCTCTCCTGGAGCTTGTCACACCCTCGGAGTTTACGATAATCTTCACAGGCCATCCAGAAGTCCAGGTTCTCTTCACTGAATTCTGATTTCAAGAAAGCATGGAAGGCAGCTCGACCATCTATAATGCGGAGACGAACAGACCAAGACAATCCATTAAAATCTTCCCCTCCTTTCTCCCCCTCCATAAAATATTTAGAAATTCTATTAATTCCACTTGGAATAAATTCTGCATTTCATCGCATGGATTTCCCCCTCCTACTTCAGGTTACCAAGTGATAGTGGATGTTTTATGATAAGAGAAGATGTTAGTAATGGGTGGAAACTAATCAAGGAGAGAAGCAACTTAGAACTGAGGAGAAATTTCCTGACAGTTAGAATCAGCGGAACAGCTTGCCTCCAGAAATCGTGAATGCTCCAACACTGGAAGTTTTTAAGAAGAGGTTGGATAACCATTTGTCTGAAATGGTATAGGGCAGCAATGGCGAACCTTTTTTGGCTCACGTGCCATAAGTGGGGGGAGCGCAGGGGGGGGTCGTGGGTGGGTGTGCTGCACCCATAAAGCAATGGGTGACCCCCCCCTCCCGTGCACATGCGTGCACTACAGGCGCAACCCCCCATTTTTTGCATGCTTTTTTTGCCCTCTCCAGGCTCCAGAGGCTTTATAGGAGCCTGGGGAGAGCGAAAACAGCCTCCCCCACCCCCAGAGGCCCTCTGGAGGCTTCAGGGACCTTCAGGAGGCTTCCCTGAAGCCTCCGGAGTGCTCAAAATGACTCTATGAGGAAACCAGAAGTCCCAAACTTCCGGTTTGCCCAAAGGGCCGTTGTTTTGCGCTCTGGAGGCTTTTTTTTTTTGCGCTCCAGAATGCCTCGGGGGAGGGGGGCACTGGGGGCTCTTTTCTATAAACCCTCTGGAGCCTGGGGAGGGCGAAAAATGGCTTTAAAAAAGGGTGAACTCATCTGGCCAGCGCGCGCATGTGCACTGGCCAGCTGACAGGGCGGCACTTCGTGTACCCTGACAAATGGCTCCACATGCCACCTGTGGCACGCGTGCAATAGGTTCGCCATCCAGGGGATAGGGTTTCCTGCCTAAGCAGGGGGTTGGACTAGAAGATCTCCAAGGTCCCTTCCAACTCTGCTATTCTATTCTATTCTATTCTATTCTATTCTATTCTATTCTATTCTAGTCCTTAACTTACCAGTTTGTTTAGTGATGGCTCAAAGTTATAATGGGACTGAAAAAAAATGACTTATGACCGTTTTTCATACTTACAACCATTGCAACATTCCCATGGTCATGTGATTCAGATCATGGCAACCGACTCATATTTATGACGGTTGCAGTGTCCTGGGATCATGTCATCCCCTTCTGCGAACTTCTGACAAGTAAAGTCAATGGGGAAGCCAGATTCACTTAACAACCGCCTTTCTGGCTTAACAACTACAGTGATTCACTTAACAACTGTGGCAAGAAAGGTCGTAAAATGGGGCAAAACTCACTTAATAACTCTCTCACTTGCCAACAAAATTTTTGGCCGCAATTGTGGTTGTAAGTCGAGGACTACCTGAAGACATTTTTTTTTTAATCCCTCTTGCCATGAAGACACAAAACTTTTATGAAGTGAGTGGAGACATTCCGGAAGCAACAAATCCACACGAAATCACCCTCTGAATTTTGGGAAACTTACTACAGTGCAGTCTAGTGACAGGCATATAAGGTAAAGGTAAAGTTTCCCCTGGCACATATGTGCTAGTCATTCCTGACTCTAGGGGGCAGTGCTCATTTCCGTTTCAAAGCCGAGGAGCTAGCACCGTCCGAAGACGTCTCCGTGGTCATGTGGCCGGTATGACTAAACACCGAAAGCGCACAAACGCTGTTACCTTCCCACCAAAGGTGGTTTCTATTTTTTTAATTGCATTTTTACGTGCTTTCGAACTGCTCGGTTGGCAGAAGCTGGGACAAGTAACGGGAGCTCACTCCATTATGCGGTGCTAAGGATTCAAACTGCTGAACTGTCAATCTTTCTGATTGACAAGCTCATCATCTTAGCCACTGAGCCACCACATTCCTAGGGATAGGAATAGCAAGATTGCTATCTAAATACCTGATTCCCTATAGCTGTTGAAAATTATGCATTAGTCTCTGGTTAATGAGTGCTTAAAAATCTGATCTGCAGATGCTGCCCTTGAATAGCTATTTAACACAGAGAGAATGATATTTAATAATGAGCCTCTTTATATAGATTTTTATGCTCTATTTTTCCCAGTAATGGTTATTATTCTTTGGTTTGAGAATACTTGTGCAGTTGGGGGCTTTATACTGTATTATAACACTAAACCATCAGAAGGAAAAAAATAAAATAAGAACATGTGTATGAGGATAGCTATTAGCTATAACAGCTTTTGTTAACCTCACTCCCGGTAGTCCTCGACTTATGACCATAATTGAGCCCGACGTTTCTGTTGCTTATCGGGACAAGTGAATTTTGCCCATTGTATGGCTTTCCTTGCCACGGTTGTTAAGTGAATGGATGGAGCTGTTAAGTTAATAACATGGTTGTTAAGTGAATCTGGCTTCACCTGTTGACATTGCAGAAGGTCGCAAAAGGAGATCACGTGACCGGGGGGGGGGGGGGACACACTGCAACTGTCGTAAATATGAGTCAGTTACCAAGTGTCTGATGGTTGTAAAAAGGCAGGGGAAAAAGGTCATGAGATGCTTTTTTTTAGTGTTGTTGTAACTTTGAACAGTCACTGAATGAACTGTTATAAGTCAAGGACAACCTTTAGTTATGTTTGGCTACAATGATCTCCAACTATAGCCCAAATCACTGTGGGATGGGAATGATGGGAGGTATAGTTCAATCCAGAGAAGGAAGATTTTCTTCTAGCTCTGCTATGCATTAATGCCAACGAGGGAACATTCTCAGCGATTCCTAGATCGTAGCCAAATCATGTCCCCTTCAAGGAAGTCATAACAGTGTATTATAGGATCCGGAGCCCTAAATGAATAGAATAGAGTAACAGAGTTGGAAGGGACGTTGGAGGTCTTCTAATCCAACCCCCTGCTTAGGTAGGAAACCCTGTATCAGTGATGGCTAACCCTTTTCTCTTTTTTCACCCACACCCATAACTGCCCCCTGTGCATGTGTGCACGACATCCCCGTGTTCCCCCACAGCTGTGTATGTGCGTGACACCACCCCGTGCTCCTCCTGGGATGAAAAACAGGGCGTAGGGGGTGTACTGCACACCCTGTGCTCCTTCCCACCCCCACCCCCCCACATGCATACACATCTCCCCCATGCACGGCAGAGATCCCAAAATCAGCTGGCTGGCATTAGGCATGCATGCATGTGCTGTGGAGCTGAGCTGGGCAGCTGGCAGAGAGGACTCCATGTGCCACATGTGGCACACTGCCATAGGTTCGCCATCATGGCCCTATGCCATTTCAGACAAATGGTTGTGCAATCTCTTCTTAAAAACTTCCAGAGTTGGAGTATTCACAACTGCTGGAGGCAAGTTGTTCTGCTGGTTAATTGTTCTCACTGTCAAAAAACAATTAAATGATTTCATTCTCCACTTCCAGGCCCATCATGCAGATTCCTGAGGATTAAAGCTCACATCACACCTGGACCTGAAAACAAATACTGTATTTTTCAGAGTATAAGACACACCATAGTATAAGATGCACCAAGATTTTGAAGAAGTAAATTAAAAAAATATTTTTGCACTCTGCAAATCTCCCAAAAACGGGCACCTTTTTTTGTCAAAAAAAAGGGGGCATGCATAGCCTTTAGGAGGCTTGTAGAGTGCACCCGGAGGTTGGGGAAGGGGGCAAAAACAAGCAAAAAACAGTCCATTTTTCGCTCATTTTTGCCCTCCCCAGCCACCAGGAGCACTCTGGAAGCCTCCTAAAGGCTATGCATGGCCATTTTTGCAAAGGGGGCGGGGTTTCGGGAGGCCAAAAATGCTGTATTCAATGTATAAGATGCACCCAGATTTTCACCCTCTTTTGTTTGAGGGGAAAAAGTGCGTCTTATACTCCGAAAAACACGGTAATTCATAAAGCGACATATCAATTGGCCATCAGTCCTGTTCCTAGGAATACGGAAGTCTCTGAACCTTGATCTAAAGAGGATGCCAGGTGGATAATATCCTGCCAAATAAGCCAGTTTATCAGAATTCAGCCACTCCAATCACCGCTCTGCTCTGCTGTATGCTGGACTGTTCCTTCTACTAATTTGGACTTCTCTCCGTGTCCCACAGGATTTCTGAGAAAGCTGGATTCTGAGGAAAACAGGATTAAACTCATTTGGCGAAGGCCGGACAATTGTTACGCACATGCCTGCTATTTACATTTTTGCCTACGCTCTCTACCAGTTGGAATTCTGGGAATCAGCCTTAATGATTATTATTATTAGGAAGCGGGCTGTGCTGGTGTCAAGAATCCATCTGAAATAAACAAAGCTTCTCGGGACGCCTAACCCTCTCATTTTCAAACACCAGCCTGTGAAAAAGACAGCGGGAAATCTATAAAAAGCCTGCGGGTCAAACAATCCCTTTCAAAGGTCCTCTTGTGTAAACTTACATGGGTGTAGTAGCAGTTTTTCCAACGATTCTGCCCATTGATGGGCTTCCTCGGGAGTTGGCCTGAAAAGAGAATAAACATGAGTGACTGGAAAACAGATGTGACCAGATGAGAGATCTCTGTGCAAAGAATGCTAGCAAGAGTTATCCTACTGCAGGCAGACTTCAAGTTCATTTAGTGACTGTTCAAAGTGACATCGTCGCTGGAAAAAAGTGACTTCTGACCATTTTTCACACTTATGGCCGTGATAGCGCCCCAGTGGTCACATGATCAAAATTAATGCTTCATGCTAGCAAGTTCTTTCAGCATCTTTCTGGAAATGATCTAGGGCCGTGATGGGAAACCTGTGGCACGGGTGCCAGAGGTGGCATGCAGAACCCTCTCTGTGTGCCATCGCCAGCTGTTTTTCTGGTTCCTGGGACACGCATGCGCACCACCCAGCTGGTCTTTGGGTTTCCAGTCCTCTGGTGTGCACACATGCAGACATTCCAGTTTGGTCACTCAGTGCCAAAAAGGTTTGCCATCACTGATATAGGGTCTCCTGCTTGAGTAAGGGTTGGACTAGGAGACCTCCAAGGTCCCTTCCAACTATTCTGTTCTGTTCTATTGTTCTGTTCTGTTCTGTTCTACCCTACCCCACCCTACCCTACTTCCCTTCCATTCTATTCTTTTACTCCTCCTTTTTCCTATCGTTGGTCAGCTGGAAGATAAGCAGAGTTTTTGATTTAACTTTCTGTGGCTGAAAGACTTTATGCTTCGGTCACAGTAACTTAAGCATCCACTCCATAGGTCTTCTTAGGGCCCTATCGGGTTCTTCTGCAGCCAAACATTCAGGTTATTTTGGACATCAAGAGGGGCGATCCGTGGATCAGGTGCAACCCGTACGTTCTCTTTTCTGGTAGACTTTGTGATCTCCAAATCATGACCCAGAAAACCTATTGCAAACTTTGAGAAGCAGTTGAACAATTTCTGGTCATTCTCCCCAAACAGGAAAATCAGGTAGAATGCCATTACTGTCCCCTCTAATAATGTCATGAATTTTCTGCCCTGTCTCTAGCCCTATAGCAATAAAGAGAATTTTTTTTGTGGGCCTCTGGATACAGTAGTAGTCAAATATTTGAAGGGCTGCCACAAAGAAGAGGGGGTCAAGCTATTCTCCAAAGCACCTGAGGGTAGAACAAGAAGCAATGGGTGGAAACCAATCAAGGAGAGAAGCAATTTAGAACTAAGGAAAATTTCCTGACAAGTAGAACAATTAATCAGTGGAACAACTTGCCTTCAGAAATTGTGAATTCTCCAACACTGGAAGTTTTTAAGAAGATGTCGTCTGAAGTGGCATCCTGCCTAAGGAGGGGGTTGGACTAGAAGACCTCCAAAGTCCCTTCCAACTCTGCTATTATTATTATTATTATTATTATTATTATTATTATTATTATTATTATTATTATTATTATTATTATTATTATTATTA